TATCAGGCTGTTAAACCTCATCAGGCCTCCTTTATCCGACAAACAAAACTTATTCTAGATGATTTCTAAAATTATTTCCAGCTTTTAAGTTTCTGTGGTTCTGGGAGCTAACATTCAGTATTCATTGTGCTTGGCTGGAGAGATATATTCATATTGGAAATGGTGCTAGATAACTCTTACATTACATGGGTAGAGTGGGATCTTGAATAATCACTGTATTGCACTGGAGATTTTAAAAAAATCAAGTGATAGATATTGATCAAGTACTTACAACATAGAAGACACTTTGCTAGGTGCTGTGAAGGACACAAAGAAGTTAACTCATTTTCCCTTGAGAATTGATTACATACTACTTATGGGGTAGCTGAATTGGATGGAAAAAAGGGAAATATTCCCAGGGTTCCACTCTTCACAGTATGGGGTAGGAGATGAAGGTGAGTATGAAGTGCCCCTTGAATATCTCCTATAAGATTTTTATGAGGCAAAAAAATCTCTAACATGAGCTTGTTTCCCTGTGATTTGTCTCTTGTAATTGGAGATATTAAATTTCTATTCATTCAAAGTTCTGGCTAATTAACTTGAGGTTAACTATAGTTTTATTTCAAGTAAAAATGCATAGCTCTATCCTCTATTTTATAGGCCAATTAATTAAGATTCTTTATGGGGTAAAATTGGACCTTTAGGCAATTAAAGTAGTCCCCACAATTTACCTATTTCTATGAAAATATATTATCAGGTGTTATAATAACTTGAAAATTCTGCCGACTGTAGAATTCTATTGCTGTTGACTCTTAGCCAATTATACCTCTAATATGTCCTAGAACGCTTATCTTTGGATATAACGGTTCTATCTAGACTTTACTTTCCTATGCTTTTAGTTTTTAAAAATTATGTGTTTTAGAGAAATTACAATCTTGAAGAATTTGGAGAGAACGTTTCCAGCCATTTTCATATTTCGTTTGGCTTCTGGATCATGTCTTGTTATAAACTCACTGCAGTTATTTTTGTTTTGTCTGGAATAGCTGCTTCAATTTACATTTATTATGTAACATAAGACTTGGCACTAGGAGTCAGGAGACCTACATTTCACTTGGGTTTGCCACTTAATAATAGGTATGTCCTTTACTCGCATGGGGCCTCAGTTTTACTTGTCTGTCAAAGAGGGGTTTAAACTGGAAGATTGTGTAGGCTGCACTCTCTTTGAAATATTACTCTTCCACATAGGTTGATCACTTTTCTTTATTTGATTATCAATTCATTAGTTTAATTTTTGTTTTTAAAAAGGTCAGTTCCTTTAACTTTCTTTTTGAAAGTATCGTCAGAAGCCCATTTGAACCACATAGCCTAGTGTGCTTATTTAAGATGTAGATTCTTAATTCCTATAACATTCACTAAATCAGACTTTCTAAGGAAGTACTTCTCAGTTTTTAATGAATATACAAGTCACATAGGCATCTTGTTAAAATGAAAACTCCAATTCAGTATGTCTGGGGTAGGACCAGAGATTCTGCATTTCTAACAAGCTTACAGATGATACTGCTCATCTGCTGACAACACTGTGAATAGCATAGCTCTCTAAGCAGTAATGGCAGCTCCAACCCAGCAGGACTATGTCTTGAATGGAGACAGAATTAGCCAGATGTGGAATGTTCAAAATGTAGCAATCATGCGTAAAACATAGCATGTGGCATCTGGGTCATATAAAGAAAAAAAGTGTTGCAGAATAAAGAGTAAAGAATATAACGTAATATGTATCAGGTGCTCTTATGAGTGGCCGTATCAGAGGATCATGTTCATTGTTGCTACTCTTATTCTAGATCATGAAAATGTGTTGAAGTTCCAAGTCCTAAGCAGTAAGAAGGAAACTGTTTCTTTTTTACCAAGTGCTGCTTTGCTGCATGCTACGCTGCATGCTGTCCACAGGATTGCTCTCATTTCCCTTCTACAGATTTTGCAGAGCCTGTGGCTGGTGTGATCACATCGTTTTTAGTCATAGAAATATGGTATCTTTACTCATTTTGTGTGATGATAGGTAAAGATTGTTTCTGCTGAAACTAGCTTGCAGGCCTAGCGAGACTCCAAGAAGTTGCCTGACCTTCCTGTGCATTAAATTTCTGCTAGTGTGTGTGTGTGTGTGTTAATTTTTAAAGATTTTTTTCTTGAAGTATACCAACACTAACATTATATTAGTTTCAGGCATACAACCTATTAGTTTGATATTTATTTCAAAAAAAGTATGTTCCTTTTAATTTGAACAGTTTGTGATCTGGGATAAAATTAGCTTACAAGAAAGTCTTTTTCCTCAACTGCAGTACTCAAAGGCAAAAATGACTTTGTAGAAATGTGTGCATTTGCATGTTTAAATGGGATCTGATATATATCGTGCCAAGAACCATTACTGACAATTATGTAGGCTTTGAAATGAAATTATGACTTAAAGATATATGTGGCATATGTTCTACTCCAATTAAAAAATATGCCTAGAGAAAATTTTTTTCTTTCTCTTTTTTTTTAACGTTGCTAAAATCTAAGACTCATATAAACTGATTTAGCGCTTTTTTTTCTTTGCATGGATATAATGTTTATGTCATTAAACTTTTGAACATCAGATAGTTTTAAATCGCATTTCATGTTGTAATAATAATAATAATGGCAATTCACACTTGTAGAGTTCTCACTAGATGCCAGGCTATGTGCCAAATGCCTTATATGAATTATCCTTTTACTCTATAGTCTCCATAGTTGAGCTGTTCTGTTTAATATGCACATATGAAAAATCTTAATGCTTAGTTGATACTGTGCATGTGTGCACACACCCACACCATAAACCCTTGTGAGGAAAAGAAACAAGAACAGTCTTTAAAAAAACAAAACAAAACTCTGAAGTCACGTGACAGATTTAGCAAATTCTTTTTATTTACATAGAAATGTGTACACATACTTTCTTTGTACACAGAAAATTCTAAGTATATATACATATATGATTCCCACATATTTTACAATAAATAGTATTTTAATTTTGTTTCTAGATGAAAATAAAAAGATGTCTCAAAATATTTCACATCAATCACAAAACTACAAAAGCACCTGATGAATCCAGAGCAAAAATTTCAAGCCTGTACTATCACACACTAAGCCTACTACAATTTTTACAAAAACAAAATCAAACACTGAGCAGATATTAGTAGTTAAAGGAAAGAAATGGAGATGCAAAATAGAGAACAGAGCTGTTAGCTTTTTGAACAACGTGGTAAGAGTATTTTTGTTGGTTAGGACTGGTTTCTCTTCAGTCCTCAATTTAAAGTTTTACTTTAACTGATATTGTACAGATGAGAAGGGGGAAAAAAGTTAACATCTATTGTAAAAAGAGTAACCATTCTAATTTCTAAAAACATTTTTACTGGTCATCCAGACCCTTTTTGTTGTGCTAATGCCAAGATCATCCAGTTCTACAATCCAGGATGATTGTCTAACCCCCTGGAGAAGATGGGGAGGGCACTGTTTGGGAAGAAACATTAATTTCAAAAGCCTGGTGAGTCAGGTATCTTGATTATTATCACTTAATAATAATTATTAATGTTTAAATATACTCTTTATTTCTACATGGAATTTGATCCTTCACTCAAATAATTAAATTCAAAGAGAATTTAATCTGGGAGGCTAGTAATAATGAATCCATAATCCTGGAATTTCTTCCCTCCACTTCCAACTTTTCCCCATTTCGAGCTTAAAAACAATCACTTTCTCTCAATTTCAGAGTTGTTCTACACATGTATACAAAAATCATACTACAAAATGAATAGAATGAGGTTATAGGTTATAGGATGAATACAGATTTATGACATGTTTGACAATCTCACAGCACTGAATTTGGCAAAAGAATCTAAAAAGATGATTTTACTATCATTGAATTGACATATCCAGATTTGCTTTCCCAATACACCAATATTACTACTCAAATGAGAATCATAAGGGTGGTGACCAACACAGGGCTAAGTGTTTAAATCACATTTGCTCAACTTTAGCTCAGATAATAATGTGTTTAGTTCCACTGTGGCACTGTAACTTTACACATGAGTTTTAAAACAAATTTTACCCCTTCAACTCTCATATCCCTATCAGTGCAGATGTGGGGAGAAGACAGCAATAAAAAAGAATTTGGTGTCAGAAATGCAATTAATTTATCAAATATAATCTTTTCTGTTACCTTACTGAATCTGCTGTTTTTAAGGTAACCTTCTAAAACATATTTCAAGGCAGTCTCATTTCAAGAGCACTGTTTATCACATGCATAATTTGATTCTTTCTTGTTATATGTTACTACCTCTGATTCTTCTTTTAGAGAAACTATATTTGGAGGACTTACCCATCCTCAATGAAAGTGATGGCTCTTTAGATTTAAGGTATTTAAGATAGAAACAAACACATGCCACATTTAAAAATGTTCCTTTTTCTTTTCTCTTTTTAAATTTGAAAATGTAATATGGACCTAAGGTTCACTGCTAGAAACAAAAGGGACCCTTTACCATGAAGAGCTGGGCTTGGTTCTTGGTCATTCTAATTTGATGTATATATATTCATCCCTCATTTCTATCATTGGAAAGACTCAGCCAGAAGATAAGTATGGAGTCTCACTATGGTAATTGTAGTCAGGACAGACCTTTTGCACAAGTTTATAATCAACACTGTAAAAGGCAATGTAAATGCAAATGACCTTGAAGGGCTTGGAGCACAGCCAAGACACATGGCTCTGAGTCTGCTCCTGGTAGCAGATCTTCGACGGGTCAAAGTTGCACAGGGCAGTCTTCTTTGCCCGATCTGTTTTTTCATACTCAATGCGACAATTGAAAGATTTGGATTCCTTGGTCTCCAAAGTAGACTGCGGGGAAACTTCAAATTCCACGACTTTGGAGGGGGGTACCAAACTAACTGAAACATTGCCCAGGCCTGTGGAATTATGTCGGAAATAAACACTGAAGGTTCCATTGCCATGGTCAACAATTTTCCCCGTGATTAGGAGGTTGAGTTTGACAGTTTTAATGTTGGAATGGAAGTCACCCCATCCAAACATTTTTTTAAATTTTCCCGTTTTTACTATTGGCCTCCGTTTAGTTCTTGTCAATGGTTCCTGAACCTCCGTGATGTTGGCCAGCCAATCCCAGAAGTGTTCCATGCTGTCCGCATATGCCAAGTGTCCGGGCTTTGGGACTGGAGACTGTTTAATAAACAGGCGCAGAGGATTGATGATCCTTGAGTGTACCACGTTTCCAACCAATGTCCCTGGAGCATCTTTGTCTTCCCAATCCAGCCCCTCTGTGGCATGCACCACTTTTTTACTGTCACAAAATAACTGTGAAAAGAAGAAAGAGAAATAAACTTTAGGTTTGGGCTTTGAGCACACACATACTATAAAACCAAAGCACAAGGGAAATTCTTGCAATATTATTTAGATTCTTGCTAAATAGCATTTCACATACAAAGCTGGGCTCAGCACTATAACAAGATGAACATTTAATTCCAAGCAATGTAAATTCGTGAGTACAAAAATTAAAATGAGATAAAAAAAAGTTTTTCATTTTAATGGGCTGACGTGGTTTTAGTTGCTGTTTCCTAATCTTTACAATCCTATCTTTACAAATTGAGGGAAGTAGTATATTGTGGTCTCTCATTTGATAAAAACATTAAATTTGTGAGAGATTTTCTTTCAGGTAAAACATAACTATAATGCTGAAGGTTTCTCCCAAGAAGCTAGAAACCATCCGAATATAAAATATTGATCTTAAATATATTTTGAAACATTAAGACTATTGTTTTCAAAAGCTTATGTCATATAACTTCCTAGCTTTTGATAGAATTCCACCTCAAAGTGTAATAGAAAAGGAGCATAAATAGTAACAAAAAGTTCTACAAAAGATTTAGTTGAAAAGCATAATTTTGAATTAATTAATAGATGGTATATAATACAATAAATTTTATTACAATTGAACTATATCTTGAAAGATAGAACTGCTAAGAGTTATGTGCATGTGGTTTATAGATTCCACTGTATTGTGGTTCAAATCATACCCACTGAAACACAGAACTTTATCTGCATTTGATTTTTATTTTTATTCTTTTTGTAGTAGTATAAGAGTCGCCATGATTTCTAAAAATCATTTAGTTAAGTCAATGTGGATTTTGAGACATGGAACTGTAATACATAAAACTACTGCCTGGAGTGAATATTTATAAATGAGTTATAAAGCCTGGAAAATAGGGGTTTCTAGTGGAAATACAGATAGTCTCTTATCTCTAATGGCACAAACCATCCCGGTAATGATTTTCGGAAAACTGTCAGCATGATGAAAAGGATGAGAGAGAAGTGAGGCTGTGTTTATGTACTGTTTCCCCAATGCTTTCATACATGGCAAAGCACCTGGTAAAACTAGTCTCAATTTATTACAAGTATTATCGCTTTCAATCTAATTTTGAAAAAAGAAATAATAAGGCACGGCCTGGATTATAAACATTGCACTCTTCTACATGGTAGAGTTTAATAGCATGAGGTTATTTTTTTTATATGTTTATAAAAGTTTAGAAGTTTAAGTTCTAATAGAGCTTTGTGAGAAGTGTTTTACCTATACCTCATCCTCAATCACTTTAGAGTAGGAATCCAAGAACTTAAATATATGTATGGGATTTTCTTTTCTGTTTTTTTCTTCCTTTGGCAGGGGGAGTTCATAATATATATTAATATATATTGGCTCTTTTGATTAATTTCCTGAAGACTTTTCCTCCTCATGTCTCGTATTTTTAAAATTCTTTTCACTTAAATTACTGAGGTTTGGCAGGAGGGCAAATTGATATGATGCACATCCTTACTATTTTGAGAACTTAAATTCATATTACCACTCTTTAGGGGAGTACACATCCTGAGTTGCATATGCTCCTAAGTGGAAAGCCTCTCCTGGTGTGGAAAGGCTGGCATGTTCACCGGGAAAAGAGGGATCATAAGTCAGTATTTCTGCTCAAAATATTCTGGGTGTTTCTAATACTGTAACTTGCGTTTTGATTTTGAACACTTTTAATTACAATGTGCATAAACCTCGTTCAAATCAATTGGTACTAGCCTGTGGAGTCAGTGCTGGCTCCAGTTATGATTTCAGTTTCCAAGAACTAATGCAGCCAGGTCTAAGTGTGGTATCCTGGCCTCTCTCCAGCAAGATGACCAAGGACACGTGAGCAGATAAGCAACCCCTTGCTGATCAAGGTCTAATTTCTCTTTTCTATGATTATGATTCCTACTGCCCAGAGTCTATTATCAATTTTTCACTTATTTCCAGGACTTCATGAGCTGTGCCTTGCTTGGTCAATGCTGACAGACATACCTTGCACTTGCTGAGAATCTCTACTTAGTATATAAGAAATTTTCCTTTACTTCTCAATCTCTACCCCTTTCTGAATAGGTAAATAGGGTAAATCCTTTCTGAAATTCTTACCTTTTAGCTTGCTTTTTTAAAAATAAATTTCAATTCTTATCTCTACACACCATGCTGCTGATTAAATATATTTTCACTTACACGTATGACAACAATCTTTGCTACCAGCAGCAACAAGCTCTTCTTTTACATTAAGATGCTTGCTTTACACTACACATTTTCCTGAAATTTTCCTCCTGTATTATTTTTCTTGATTTAGCACTTTGCCTGATTTTTTCATTACTTTCCATTATTGAAAACCTATAAACAGTGAACCCATAATTCAATGACAAGTAAGTTTGAAATCACGTAGTGTCTTAAGTTAACTGTATTGGTCCATTTTGGAATACATAATACACTCCATTAAGAGAGACATTACGAGATCCTTCTCATCGCTAGGACTTCTGCTGTGATACTTCTGAGAATAGTCAATGATAATAATAATAACAAAAAATGGCCATTTACTGGGATTTAAAAAAAAATCTGAAGATTTTCTTCCTAGCTATTTATGTTGCAACAACTTGACCCAAACTTATGTACTCACCCTAAAAAATATGAGTGTAAAAAGAAATCTAAGCTTATCAAACAGATAAATTATATGTGATCATTTTCTTTCAGATGGCTCATCAACTCTTCAAAAAAGATTCTCCATATGAGAACTTAAAATGGAATTTGATTTCTAAAAAATATATTCTAACACAATACTCTTCAGGTTCAAATATGTATAAGAAACCCTTGATTTTAAAGTTGGCCTATATAAAAAATAATAAAATTTAACTGATAGCACAGATTTATAATAGTTCTCTGTTCCAGAGACAACACTCACTAATAGTTCCATAGATGAAAAGCAGAGATATATATATTTTAATTTTTTTCTTTGCCCTAGACCATCACATTTTCTACTTTAACAACATTAAACGAGTTGAGAAAAGCTGTGTATAACTTCATTTGTTTATTACTTTAAACTAAATGGACAATTTTCACAAATACTGATTTTCAAACCTAAACCCAAATCTCAAAAAGCTATCAGATAGTGATGTATAATTAAAATGGTAAATATATTTCGAATTGTCTTAAAAAGTTGACAATTGCACCTCCTCTCCTGACTTGCTCTCTCTTTGATGGTATGCATGCATCACTGGTAAGAGGGCACTCTCTCCTATAACGAGGTCTACAAATATTTGGTTGTATAACCTAAGACCCCAAGGCTCATGTTTATCTTCAAAAGACCTAATCAGGGATGACTGGGGTTGGATGAGTCACAATCCTGCTCTTCACTCGTCTATACACTCCCAATACGGAAGCAGTATGGTGGAAAAACCTAGGATTTAGTGGAGGATGATCTCATCACCCCTTGCTTAAGTGAACCACAGTTTTTTCACCTATATCTCCTTTGCTGGTTTATTGTAAGGATGAAATAAAAGAACAGATGGAAATTACTAAGCCCAGTCTCTGGCAAAAAGAATTCAATAACTGATGGTCCCTGCATGGTACAATGGATAGTCCCATGCCTCCTATTCAAGAATCGTCTTCAAAAGGTTTTTATATATTCTCAGGCCTCTAGGAAACTGATTATGGATAATCAAAAAAACTTGTTTGGTGCCATATAACACATTGATGACTGAGTAGAAAGCAATCTTTTCAACTCCAGAGCATCTATCAAATGTTTCCTTGTGTTTCCAGTCTCACTGGCATCTGAGTCATAGCTAGATTGCTGGCACAGGTAGGCTTTCTTTGCCAAAAAAAAAGTGGATCTTTAAATCCAACCTACCAAATGAGTCAGCAAAGGGAGCTGAAAGTACAATATGTCTGGCAGGTGCCCTTGTTCCTGGACAATTTCCATGATACAACTTACTGGGTGAGGGCTGTAGGTGGTTCTAAAGCTGCTGGCAAACCACTCTGCCCAAGGCAAAGTTGTTAGATGTTTTCCACAAAACGCATGGCTGTATCCCCTCGTTACTTTTGTATTTGCTGAGGCTCTCTATGCTAATATTGGTATCACTGCTGTCTTTGTCCCATCATATTGCAATAATAATGCAAAAACGTTTAACTGCAAGCACAAAACGGAGTTTAAAAAAGGGAGAAAGAGGAATTGCTGTGCTTTATCTGTTTGAACATTCCCTGATTTCAACACATTTATCAAAGCTTAAGTAATTTATGTCTTGGCAGGGTGTATCAATTTCACAAAGCACACACATTAGCTAGATACAATGATATCATATTAGCTTTTTTTGCATCTTACAGAAGAGCTCAAAAAGATTAATAAAAGCTCAAACCTTCATCAATTAAATGAAGCAGGTGGAAGGAAGGGAGTAGAGGAAGAAGACTGTATTTCATTTCGGTTCTTTTGTTTTCAGGGGGAAAAAAAAGCTGACAGGTTCAAATCATTCATCATAACAAGCTGGAGTTGAATTTCCCTGATAATTAAATGCATTTTTTCCCAAGAGGCAGAGAAGCTGCAATGAATTTTATAGTAGCAGATGTGAGAACTGTCACAAATTATGGACATAATTTATAAACTAAAAAGCATCTTTCTCTGCAAATACTATATCAGAATATCCTTTTTTCAATCATATCTGTTATGTATTTTTCAGTAAAAATTTTATTTTAAAATAATTTTAGATTACAGAAAAGTTGCGTAGTACAGTTACCACATACCTGGCACCCAGTTT